TATCAACATTGTATCCACTGACCCCCTTCCCTCCCTCCCCCCCTCCCTCCCCTCCCTCCCCTCCACCCCCTCCCCCCTCCCCTCCTTCCCCAACTTGGCCCGCATGTCGGCGTTCCCCAGCCACATGCTTCGCACCCCTTTCCCAGCCACGACCACCGACGCACAGCCCCCCCCCCCTCCACCACCACCACCACCACCACCAAGACCAACACCACCACTGCTCCTCTCCATCCCCTCCCGACACCCAGGTACGTACTTGAACAGAAGGTCTGTGTACATGCGTGCGTTTGCGGCATGTGCTCTGTCGTCGGGGTTGATCATGTGCCATGGCTGGTCCTCGAGAAAGGGGGCAAAGTAATGACGGAGTTCGATGGGGAAGTAGAGTGCTCCAGAGGGATCCTTGACTTGGTCATACAGCTCATTCACCGCAGAGTGGCTTTGAACTGACTCCCATTGGCTTCCCCGACTTGCCATCTGCCCGCCTTGTGCTTGCCGAGAGTGAGCTGTGACAGTCTCTGCCTCGGCCACTGTCTCTGCCTCGGCCACTGTCTGCCTGCCAAAAAGTAAAGGCCACCACCCCACCAACGATCATTTCTCCAACAAACAATCGTACCCCCCTCCACCACCCCACCAACGATCATTTCTCCAACAAACAATCGTACCCCCCTCCACCACCCCACCAACGATCATTTCTCCAACAAACAATCGTACCCCCCCTCCACCACCCCACCAACGATCATTTCTCCAACAAACAATCGTACCCCCTCCACCACCCCACCAACGATCATTTCTTCAACAAACAATCGTACCCCCCCCCCCCCGCCACTTCTCCTACCCCATCATGCTCGACTGGTCATGGACAACACCTGCACTCTCGGCGCTGGGCCTCGTCCTCCTCGAGCTGGCATACATCTGCTTCTCGGACAACTGGGCCTCCTCACCAGGCCTGCTCGGCCTCGGCTTGCGGAGCCTCATCGACGCGGCGGCAGGCCGACAGGCACCCACTGACGGCACCACCATGGACGCCCTGCCTGCCGCGAGCCGGGCCTGGCTCGACCACCTGCTCACCTCGTCCGGTATCGATCTCTCGTCATCGTACGATGTCCACTGCCATGTTGTCGGCCTCGGCGACTCGGGCTCGGGCTGCTGCGCCAACCGCCGCTTCTCCTCGCCCTGCCATCCCATCCTCAAGCTCAAGATGTGGGTCTTCATGGCCGCAGCCGGCGTGCGATCCACCTTTGCCGCAGACTCGGTTTACATGGATCGGCTCAAGTCGCTTCTGGAGCACTTTCTTCCGCATCGCGCGCCGCTGTCGTCGCCGCCCGGTCCCTTTGCCTGTCTCCTTGCCTTTGACAAGTACCACACGCCCGATGGCGCTGCAGACGACGCCCGCTCGGGCCTCTACACGCCCGACGCGTACGTCATCGAGCTTGCTGCCCGTCATCCGCACCTCTTTGTTCCAGTCGCCTCCATCCATCCCTACCGACACGACGCTGTTCCCGCCCTCCGCGCCGCCGCCGCCGCAGGCTGCTGCATCGTCAAGTGGCTGCCCAATGCTCAGGGCATCGACCCGTCGTCGCCGGCGTGCGCTCCGTTCTACGCCGCCATGGTCGAGCTCGACATGGCGCTCCTCTCCCATACCGGCGACGAGCACACCGTCGACGCCGGCGGCCTCAATAACGCGCTGGGCAACCCGCTCCTCCTCCGGACCCCGCTCGACGCTGGCGTCAAGGTCATTGCCGCGCACTGCGGCTCCGAGGGCATGGCGCTCGACCTTGACGCCCCAGGCCTCGTCCGCGTCCCGGCGTTCGATCTCTGGCTCCGCCTCATGGACAACCCGCGCTACACTGACCGCCTCTACGGCGACATTGCTGCCCTTACCTCGTTCAAGCGCATCGCACACACCCGCGACCTCCTGCTCAATCGCCGCGATCTCCTCCCGCGACTTGTCTACGGCTCAGACTATCCGGTCCCAGCCGTCAACGCCGTCGTCCGCCTTGCCAAGCTCGTCGACGCTGGCCTCCTCGACCCGGCCGCCGTTCCCCACCTCCGCGCTCTCTACGCCGCCAACCCGCTCACCTTTGACGTCGCCTCCAAGCTCGCCATTGGTTTTCCCGCCCGCGTCTTTGACACCAACATCCACACGCTCCTCCCACGTCTCGCCAAAGAGCACCGCGCCCGCCTCGCAGCCTGCTAGGCCGTCGCCGCATGCGCCTCGCGGACAAGCGCCAACTCGACGACAAACCCGGACCGCAACAGAATCGAGTTCCACACTCGCTGCTTGGTCGAGAGTGCGTCGCTCGGACCTTTGACCTCGACCATCATCACCGAGCCGACAGCGCCCGCCCCCTCGCGCCACAACACAAGGTCCGGAAAGCCGCCCGAGAGGTACCGGTGCTTCGCCATCGCCCGCAGCAGGCTCGCGAGGGCCGGTCCGCGCGCCGCTCGCCCAAAGCCCACCACCTCGTCCACACTCACGCTCTCCCACGCCGCGCCACGCACGCACTTGCCCTCGTGCGCTGCATACGCCACCGCGAGGTGTGCTCCGAGCTCTTCGCCGCCAAGGCGACTCACTTGTTCTAGCGCTGCCTCGATGACATCGGCCCGCCGCGCGTAAAAGTGCGCGTCGCGGGTGTCGAGCGGCGCGTCCTGTGCCGCCGTCACAAACACCCCGTCGACGCTCGCAAACAGTGCGTCATACAGCACAAGCACAAAGACCAATCGCAAAAGTGTGCCCTCATCGTGCCGCCCTACATACCCCAGCTTGGCCGCGTACCAGTCGAGCGCCACCTGCTCGACGCTCACATGCGCGCCGGGCACATCGCTCGTTGGCCCCGCCGCCCACACGTTCCGCCCGCTCCACCCTGCCCCGCCGCCGACGAGCTCGCCTACAATCGTGCGCGTGCTTGGCTCGGCCAGCTCCTCAAAGTGCGCCCGGACACTCGCCAGGCGCGCCGCAGAGTACACCAGCGGCGGCTTGGCAAGGCTCGCCACACGCTTCTGCAGCGCAAACCGATGGCCAAACACCACCCAACGCTCCGCGAGGCCGGCCACCGCCGCGTCGAGTGCCTCCTGTGGCCGCTTGAGGTGGACTAGGTCTGTTGCCAGCCGTTCCCACCATTCGCCGCGCCGATGGACACAGAGCCCGTTGAGGCTGAGGAGGAGCCGGAGTGCGGCGACGGCATCGCGATACCGGCCCTCGCGCTCAAGCACCCGCGTCCCGTACGTCAGCAGCCGCGCGTGCTGCCATCCGGCGGTGTACCGGAGCGCAAATGGCGGAGGCCCGCTGTGCTTGCGCGCAAACCGTCCTGCGTGCGCCTCGAGCCACAGTTGTGACGCCTCGACGAGCGCCGCCAGGTCAGGCGTCATTGTCTTGGCGCCGTCAACACTTGCCACGCTGGCCTGCAGCGCCATAAAGGCGTCGAGCGCGTGCCGTGTAGGAAAGATGGCTCGCGCCGCCGACGCGCCAGACGCGCTCCGCGCCTTGCCGTCGTCGTCCATGACGACCGCACTCCGCCCGCGCACCGGCACGCTTGTCGGCAGCGGCTCCAGCGGGAGATGGGCAAACCGCGCCTGCCGCATCGCCATTAGAGTCAGCGAGGTCATCGCGTCGCGGTCGCGCGCGTCGCGGAGCTGGAACAGAAACTGGCATAGGTCAAAGACGGCTGTCACCTCGGGTGCGAGCCGGATGACCCACTCGGGCTGGCTCCGATGGGCGACAAGCAGGTCGCGCGCGTGAGCCTCCCGCCGCACCATCGCCTCCAGCCCGGCTCGCTTCTCGCTCCGCGCCAGGCTGGGCCCTGCTCCCAGTGCCTCGACCACAAACGCTTCCAGTTCGACTCTACTCCGTGCGCCTATCAGCTCGTCGACGCTAGCTTCGCCGGCAAAGTCCTTGAGCGCAAAGCCGGCGTCCTCGAGCTCGGCGCCGGCAGCCTCCACCGCAGCCTGTACCGCCAGCGCATCGACGAGGCCGTCGTCGGCTGGCGGAGGAAGGACTAGCTCCGAGTATTGCATACACGCGTTGAGGGTGAACCAGGGACCCTTGCGGAGGTAAAGGCGGACAAACAACCGCTGCGCCGGCGAGGTGAGGCCAGTCACGAACTTGCGGGCAATGTCGACCTCAGCAGGGCTCAGCACATGCATCCAGGTCGGGACAACGTGCTCTAGAATAAGACCCATCTGCCGCATGTAGTACAGCCTGAATCTGCCCGTGGCGCTCGCCATCTCGCCAGCCAGCGTCGCCGGTGTCACCACATGCAAGCCCTCGGATCGGACCCTCTTCCGCGCCTCACGCCGAGCCTTTGCCTCCTTTGCCCGCACGCTCTCCAACTTGTCCGCCCGCGCCGCCTCTTCCGCCGACGCCTTCAGCGCCGCCTCTAGATCCATCTCCCTGGTGTTGATCCGCCGACTCTTGCCTGCACCTCTGCCTGTCGCCGCCCTCTTGCGCCCCGTTCCTCGTGAGCCAGCCATGACCCCAGCCCCGGACAGGAAGCAGCACCAGCACCAGCAGAGGGTGTGGGGGTGAGGGTGGAGTCGGACATAGGTGTGTTCTTTCGCTTGCGCTTGCGTGTGGCGGTCAGTGTGGTGGTGGTGGTGGTGGACAAAAAAGGTCGTGGTTTGCTGGACTGGGCCGTGGCGACGCTCTGGTTGCTACCGACCATGAAAGCGGTGGAATCATCGTCGGAGTTCGAGTCGAGGATGATGACCTCGGACATTGGTGGTGTGTATGGGTAGATTGGAGGTAGTCTCGGTTGCATGACCATTTAGCATCTTGACGAGCCTTCTTGATCCTCTTATCATTTGGGCCTCTTTCCTGACGTCCTCTTTGCCCAGTCAGGCAACCCTATCTCCTGATATTCTTGTGAGACTTGGACCAACACGCATTAGGCTGAGCCGATCCTGACCTTTTTCAGGACCTTCTGGTCCTTCCGACTTCAAATTTTGTCCATCACTTAGGGGGGGGGGGGGGGGGGGGGGGGGAGTCAAGTGGTCCCCGTTTGCGAGTGCGTGTGTGTCCGTGTGCGCGTGCGTGTGCGCGTGCGTGTGCGTGTGTGCGTGCGTATGCATGTGTGTGCGTGTGTGTGTGCGTATGCGTGTGTGCGTATGCGTGTGTGTGTGTGTGTGTGTATGTGTGCGTATGCGTGTGTGTGTGCGTAAGCGTTTGTGTGAGCGTTTGTGTGTGGCGACGCGAGCGACAGCTCACCCTCACCACTTTGTCGACTCAATGAGGTGCTCGACGTAGGCGAGAATAAGAGTCGAGTCGGCGGACGAGTCGGTGACGGCGGCGTCGGGATCGGCAAAGTCTGCGTCGGGAGCGGGGCGAGGCTGGTGCGGCGGGCGCGGGCGGGCGTGCTCGCGCCTGTCGACGAGCAGGTCGCGGGCCTTGGCAAGGACCGAGGCGAGCGAGTCACGCTTGGCGTGCTCTGTGGCGATGGCGTCGTCAAGAGCGGCCGGGGCGGCGGACGCCGCCGCGGAGAGGCGGTACTTGCCATGAGCTACGGCAGTGTAGCGCTTGGTGAGCCGCTGAAGGCGGGCGAGGTTGAGGATGTTGCGGTCGCGGGTAAAGGCGAGGCCAAGGCGGCGGGCCGCGAGGTCATCGGCGGCAACGGTGAGGTCGGCGACGGCTGCCTGGGTCTCCTCGATGGCGCCAAGGGTGGCGTCCTGCGACTGCGCAAGTGCGTGGAGCTCGGCGTCCGAGGCCTCCAGGTCTGCGGTGGCAGCCTTGATCTTGGCGTCGAGGGTGGCGAGAGCCTTTTGGATGGAGGCGCGGGTGGCGACGGCAGCCTTTGCGGCGGCACCGCGGTCGCGGGTGGAGGCGGCCTTCTTCTGGACGGCGCGTCCGCGGGCCCAGATGTGCTCGCGGCGGACAATGGCCTTTTCCATGTCTTGCACCATCTTCTCCTGGTGGCGGAGGAGCGAGGCGTGGCGGAGCTTCATGCGGTGGATCTCCTTCTTCATGGCCTTGACCTCGTTGGCACCGACCTCGGGGTCGAGCGCTTCCTGCGTCTCTCGAGCGAGCTGGATCTTCTTCTCCCACAGCATGATCTGGCGCTCGGCCTCGATGACATCCGAGAGGAGGAACTTCTTTTCGGAGAGGAGCTCGTCGACCTCGATTTCGAGCGAGACGGCAACTTTTTCAGCATCCTGCAGCTTGCGGACAAACTCGTTCTCCTGGGTGAGGTTGGCCTCGGCGAGGCGGGCCTGCGCCGCCTCGTTGTCGGCGATCTTCTCGTTAAGGACGGCGAGCTGGCGCTGGGCAGCGCGGACAGCCTTCTCGTACTCGGCGCACTCGGCGTTGTGTCCGGCGGCGAGCGAGTCGAGGCGCAGTTTCTTCTGCTGGAGGACCGTGAGCTGGGCGCGGAGCTCGGTGATCATGGTCGCCTGGTCGGCGGCGTCCTTCTCGTGGTTCACGAGCGAGCGCTGCTGACGAAGCCAGTAGTTCTGCAGCGATGTGCAGTCAGCAGTGGCGGCCGAGATGGCCTTGGACAGGTTGTGGATGGTGGCCTCGAGCGGCCCGGTGTTTTCGTCCACCATGCGCGATGCAAGTGAGTCGTAGAGCTTGTTGAGGCGGTCGACCTCGGACTGCTTCTTCTGGATCGAGTCGTTGCGGCGGCGGATCTCCACCTCGTAGTTGTCGATGAGGCCCTCGAGCTCGCGCATTTCGGCGAGGAGGCCAGAGAGCGTCTCGTCGAGCCGGCGGTTGTGGTCCTCGGTGTTGAGAATGTCCATGCGGATGCGGGCGAGCTCGTTCTCGTTTTTGATCTGCTCGCGCTCGAGCTCGCGGAGCTGGGCGGTGACCTTCTTGGTCGCCTTGGCGGTCGCCTTGGCGCCCTTGGACAGCGTGACCTGCTGAGTCGCGTTCGCCTCCATGGCGTCCTCGTACTCGTGCTGCTGCAGAAGAATGGCGTCGGCCTCGCGGCGGAGTCCTTTGGTGGCGGTGAGGAGCTTGGCTCGCGACGCGTTGACATCCATCAGCTCGGCCTCGGTCGACTCGAGCGAGGCCACAAGCACGTTGTACTGCTCCACGCCCTTGGCCTGCTTCTGCTGCACCTCGTCGAGCGCCGACGAGAGGAAACGGAGCTCGATCTCGGCCTTGCGCTTGATGCCCGTCAGCTTCTCGTTGACCTCGGCCTCCTCGCGGATCGACTTGCGCAGGCCGTAGATCTCGTTGTCCATGTTCTGCAGCACGTGCCGCCGCTCGTCGAGCTCGGCCTGCAGCTTGACAAGCGCCTCGTCACGGCGCGACATCTGCAGCAGCGCGCCTTTCCACTGCGACACAAGGCTCTTCTTCTCGTGCGCAATGTCCTCCATCTCAGCAGCTGCCTCGCCGAGCGTCGCCGTCGCCGCCGCAGTTTCCTCAGACTGCGACAGCAGCTGCGCCTCGTACAGCGCCTCCTCGTCCTGAAGCCGCTTGAGCTGCTCGTTGAGGGCATCAATCTGCAAGTCCTGCCGCATCTTCTCCTTCTCCAGTGACTTGATGTCCTCCTCGGCCTTGTACGTCGCCCGGCGCGTCACCGCAATGTTCGCCTTGAGCTCGTCGTTGTACAGGTCAATCTCGGCGAGCATGGCGTTAACTGCGTCGAGCTGCTTGGTAAAGGCATTGAGCTCGGTCGAGAGCGCAGCAACCTCGCCCTTGTCCTGCTCAAACTCGGCTTTGGTGGCGTCACGGAGCGCCTCGGCCTCCTCTCGAAGCGCGGCCATGGTATGGACGTTCTCAAGCGTGAGCTCCGACGAGAGCTGCAGCTTGGCCAGCTGCTGCTGGACGCCGTACAGCTCGACACCCAGTTCCTCCCTCCGTTCCTTTGCCATTCTCAGCTCTTCTTCCTTCTCGCCCATGTCGTACTGGACCTTTGCCACGGCAGCCGCCAGCTGCTTCTTCAGCTGCTCCTGCACCCTTGCCAGCAGCGGGTTGTCCGGGTCCAGCATCGGCACCGCACCGATTCCATCACCAGCACCAGCACCACCACCAGCACCACCACCACCAGCAGCAGCATACGGATCATCATCACCATGGTAGTCCATACTCTCGTTGACACTCATGTTTGCGCTGTTGTCACTCTCCTCGTCGCCTCCTTCTCTCTCTCCAAATCCAGGACCTCCATTCCGGTCATTGCCAACGGCAGCTGACGAGCCAGCTCCGAACTCTCCGCCTTCCTCGGGCATGGGTGACGTGGTACGCCCTCCCTCGTCGCTACCGGGGGTAGGAGGTCGTGGGGAGGAGGATGACATAGTGTGTGGGGTGGAGTGGGGGTGGGGTGGGGGTGGGTGGGGTGGGTGAAGTGGTGGGAGTGGGGTGGCGGGAGGTGGCGCGTTTTGCGGCTGGCGGTGGCCAACGCGACTCGGCAGGTGGCGGCGGTCTCAGCCCAGAGGAGGGGGGG